GAGGTCCCCTTTCCCTGTCCAGGATTCTAGCCTGCATGAGATGAGAGACTCCTGCTAACACTAAGTCACACTGAGGCATGGAGCTCCTGTATATGCTCAGGGAAGACAAAAAACAGACAAAAGGAAGTGTTGTAGTGGGAAATGTAGTACAGCCCAGCACACATGTATCTCCAGTCTGATGTCTCCTAGCCTCTTTGGAGTCTTCTTCTAAAAACCTGGATGATAAACCAGGCAGGAAGGAAGAAAAGTGGCGCCAGCACCAAGCTTAGGCAAACAGCACAGAGCGGACGGCCATGCCTCTCAGAAATAAAAGAAGGAAGAGATTTTTTTTCAAAGCCATACGAAGCAAGTGCTAAACCCAAATAAAATCTGAGGACAACAGAAAAGAGAGCCAATGAGGAGCTCAAAACAAAACAGAAGGAAAAAAGCTATCTGCCAGCAAGATGCGCTAATCTGCTAAATGGTAGCAAGAAGACACTTCTGTTGGTCATTTTGCTCCTAAAAGCCGCAAAATAGGAATCTGCTGCTGTATTCCCTCTGTATTACAATATGCCCTACGTCTTCAAAGCCAAAGGGAACCATTAACATTACCATTTAAGTTACTTCACGATGGCAAATAAAAAGAAAAAACAACAGTTGGTCTTCTTCAGGTGTAAGGGAGAAAGAGAGGAGGTGTAGGGACATACTGCACAGTGAGAAGGGGCATTGCAGGTGATGTGAATAAGTGTACAAAGAATGGAATACTGGGAAAAAAGCATGGACAGCTGGTATCTGTATATGGATGAAGGATCCAAATAAAATTAATCTCCACTCAAAACTCTATTACTGATTTATTTCTAGTTTGCCCTTCAATTAAAAATTATGGCAAAGAAGATATTCTGTAGTAAATTAAAACCTCATGCATCAAATGTGAAGAGTTAGCTATTATCTATTTAATAATAAAACATCTCATATGTAGCAGTCTCTGCAACTGAAGGTTACTCTGAACTAAAAAGTTATATCTTAAAAGATTAAGACATCTAGTCTACGGAGTATAATTCTACAGTTTATAAATCATACCAATGCATATATTTACTGAGCCGTAAATGTCTTATCTAAATACTTTCTATCTCCTTATGGCATGTTGTCCTTGGCACAAATGTTTCTGTTTTTTAGTGTCAGCAGAACATCCCCTTCAGCTGCTCTAAGGCTATTTAAAGAGGTCTCTGGCCTCCACCTCTGAGTTAAATATTCCACTAGGAGGGTAGTACAAGTCCCATAGGCATTCAATGTGTCTGGGACAGATTAGAGCAACATCCCCTGACCACTGCATTCCGCAGTACAAACTATAGTAAAAGTGCGACATTACATTTATCCCCAAAGTCAATTTCAGTACTGAGATTTTAGAACACTTCCCTTTGCACATTGTGCAAGCAGAGCTATTGATCTGAAAAGAGCCATACATAAGCAATGTCTCCACACCCTGCTTGGAAGCACAAAGTGTGACCTATTGAAGGTGGAAAATTCTGCGGCTCAACCCCAGCTGGTTAATACTTCCATTGGTAACATGAAGCCAAGTTTTCCATCTCATCAACCCTTGAGAAAGCAATCCGGTATTCCCTATTGCTGTTGACAGAATGATGTAGAGTTTTAACTATGCAGGAGACTTTTGAAAAATATTAATTTTATTGGTAAAAGGTAAAACCGAGGCACATGTTCTCTATTGTGATGACTCCACACTTCCGTTATCTCCTAGAACACTCAATGAAGAGCAAAAAAGTGGGAATTGGGTCATCCATCCATTTGTGAAGGAACTTAACTGGAAAATACTCTAACACTAAGCTACTAACAAACCTACTAAGCAGTTTCTTCAGTCTGTAGTAGTAAAGAAAGAGCAGGAGACTGCAGGGTTATAAAATACTGTATACTGACTACAAGAGGATTTCCACATGCTCACATTTACATTTTTCATGTATACTTTGTAGACTTAATTTCTTGGCTGAATAAAAAAATGGAAAGAGCTAATAAAGTCAGAATGAATAAAGACCAGTATTAATCATAATTCTTTTTACAAGGCTTTAAATGCATGTAAGGATTGTAACAATGATTCTGGAGTTCCACATTCGAAACCCAATACTCCAACTGTGGAAAATAAATGGGAGTTGATGCATTTTGAGTTTGTTTACCACATTAGATCATAAAATGGCCACAGAGCCACCAAAGCACACAACAGTGGTACAGAATTACTGTGGAGACAGCATCATATTCTTATTTGACAGGAATTATTTTCTTCTGGTTTATGCCTTTGGTTGTCTTTATTAAAGGGTTGATTCCAAATTTATGACCTTATATTACTTCATGGCTTCACAGCTGAAATATTGTGGAATGGAATGAGGAAAGTACTTTATGGTTGGTTAGTTTTAAACAATACACTTGACACCCCCTCAAAAAGATCCACATTGACCTTCTATAGTCTTGGCTTTTCCAATCGCATCACTAATAGTAACAGGTCTAACAATATAGCCTATTTGGCTAAAATAAAAACAATTGACTGATATGGGTCGTATTTTGAGGTCCAATGCATTTGCTGGCATTGGTGTAATGGAGTAAGAAGCTAAAGAGCAAAATGACAGTTTCTTTTGTTGTTGAAGTTCATTTTTTCACCACTATTTTTTCAAGCACTTTGTCCAAGTTACTGGAGAGCCAGAGCATCTCCTGGCAAGCAGCAGGTACAAGGCAGGATACACCCTGGACAGGACGCCGGTCCATCACAGGGCAGGTAGACATGTACACACTCACATCAGGGCCAATCTCGTCTGAAGCTTATTAACCTACCAGTATGTCTTTAGACTGTGGGAGGAAACCAGAGCATCTAGAGGAAACCCACATAAACATGGCACATACAGCACAGGGCACCATTGCTCAAGGCAGCCATGCTAACCACTGCACCTCGTAACCCAAAAGTGGGAGTCTTACAGAGCAGAAGTCTACTCTGGGTTAACGGCAGATTCTGAGAACCATCCTAACCTCCAGTGTTTTGCAACTATAGGGTTGTATTTTACTGCAAGACATATATGCCTGAATTTAACAGTAATGTACAACAGTATCAAATGAACTGTTCTTCTAACAGGGCTGTAAAGATGATAAGTACAGTAGAGTAAAAATATAGATGTGGCTGAAAAGCAAGCCGAGGAACTACTCTCTAGAGAAAATCTGCGCTCTTTTCTGAACTTAGTAATGCATGTAAAGGACCTGTACTAATTTATCTGATCACTGGTGTTTGATAAAATTAATTCACAAAGAGGTGAAGAATAAAAGGTGAAGAGTCTTCTATTTAAAATTGAGGACAGAAGAGGATTTCTTTACCCGCCATGTTATCGAAGCCAATTTCCATCCTTAACTACTAGCTTATCAAATGGACTGCGTGAGCAGAACAGCCTCCTCTCATGTCCTTTCTCCCATTTCCTTACTGTACGGTCTTGCTGCTGTGTAAATGAGGCGACAGCTAAAACAGATACCTTACAGTACACAGTATGAGTGAAGTTACTTCCCAAGAGCGCTCTCATCACCGAGCTGTTTAAGACTGTGCAGGGAGGAACACAGGGTTTCAGGGGGGTCATATAAATCCTTTTTTATCACTGAAAATTATTAGCACACCATTCAGAAACATGGGAATTTCTTTAAGTGCTTGATTTATTGACATCAACAGCTAGGAAAAAGAGTATTTTACTCTGTGTGCCTTTCAGTCGAAAAGGCTATGGACTACGATGTGGCCACTGCAATAGTTTTGGAATTCCCTGTTTCTTTCCTTCTGCAGTAGGGTAGGCAGTCCACATTTGAGAAGAAACAATGTTTCAACCATTAACTAATTCTCAAGAATAATTGGTCTATTTTTACTTTAGCATGTTACCTAAGGAATACAAATAAATCGTTGAATCTCGAATAGAGTTTTTAATTATAATATTTTGTACACATGGAAACATTTCTGAAAATGTATATATTTCTAAAACATGAAATGCCTACATATTGAGCTACAAAGGTTTGAAAGCTGGCATGTACTATTAGAAACACCTGTTCCTAGTGTATGTTACAAATTACTTTCACTAATTCTATACTCTGTTATGGTACTTTAGGCTTGCTGGCTGATTTTATCTTAACATTATTGGCTTTTGGTTTACAGTATGTGTTTGTTTGATGTTTCAGCCCTTTTTTTTCTTTTCAATTTATATTGCATTAAAGAGAGACTCACTGAGTCAACAATGAACCTTGTTACCTTTCAAAGCAGTTTTGGTAATACAAGTTCTTGGTAATCTTTCCTTCCTCATCTAATAATCCCCATAATTAAACAAAAACACAGCACAGGGAACAGAGAGTGTTTATGCTTATTTTGGAAAGTGACACAGATTATTTGGGTTGGTGGAAAATCTGTAAACGAGCTGCTATCTCTGTGCATTATCACTACAACCCTAGCAATCTCCTTTTTACAAAGATATACTGTAGCATGTTATAGCTGTCTGATTTTGAATCTTCTTTTTGCACTCAGTTTTTAAAGTAATACATAATATGTGTCTTAAAAGTCTAGACATAGGTAAATTAAGTATACAGTATGTGCTAAGTACTATTATGGATTACAGAAATAAAAAATAGGTTTTATGTTATACAGTATACTGCACAGAAGATATTAGGTTATTATGCTCCAAATATACAATAGAGAATTATAAATCTACACGAATTATAGTTATAGTTATAAATCATATATAATTATATAATTATATAATAGCAGCTATAGGTTTGCACATAGCACTAGCATTGTTTATAAATCCTGGCTGGATATATTTTTGTGAAGTAAGATGGAAGTCAATTTAAGTGGTTGATATGTGTTTAGACCAGACTATTAGGACATGCGACTTTAGGACATGAAAAGGACCGTATAACTTGTGAAGAATTAATTAATAAACACTCCATTTGCTTAGCAAACCGATCTCCCAGGCTTGCTTGATGGTTAAATAGTTTGTTTTTACCTGGGGGGGCACGGTCCGAGGTTGCAGAGTCTGACCATTAGAGGAGGACGGCTGGAGTCGTCACAGAGGTGATCAGCTGCCACCTCTCCTCTCTGCTTGTTAAGACACACTACAACAGCCTCTTGGTTTCCTGTCAATAAAGAAAAGGTGGAAACATGGAAACAGAACAAGGATTACAAAAACAGATGACATGCTGCAGACCTGATATTTAAGACTTTAAAATCCCAGAGCTAAGGGCTGCTTAGATGCTTGTTGCTTCGAGAAAGTAATTTTACAGATTCTTATTCAGCAGTACTGGGCAAGCTAAAACAGTCCATGTTTATACAAGGTCACAGCAACTGAAACAGGTTTTTAACTTAAATTCATGTATTTTGCCACCTGAAAGATCTGCTTGCCCAAAACACAAACTTCAACAGGAAACAAATATACTAGAGCAGAGTGAAAAAAATATTAAAACTGCAACTCCTGCTTCTCAAAACAAAGACTGTGTTGTGAAATTCTCCCTTTCTCTTCCTGCTGCAATTAAAAGGTAAGGCTAAAGCTAGCACTGTCTTCAAGCAGCTGCAGACACAATGCATGATGAGCTTGTTCTTCGTCCTTATCAGATTCCTGTAAAAGCAGATTACCCTTTGCACAGGAGGCAGAGCAAGCCGTGAAGCCATCATACTCCCAGTCGTACAGCTGCTCACTGTCATAGTGGGGGAACGTGGGCTCAAACACAGTGCGATCCCCACTGCAGGGTCCCAGGTTACAGCCCCTCTCGGACATGGGCCTGTCCTCCTCACATTCCTCGTCGGGCAGGTCAACCTCTGTCTGCGAGAAAGACAGCAGCACTCGGCACTTGACTGTCCGGGTCTGGAGGCCATGACCGCAGGTGGAGCTGCAGGGAGACCACTCTCCGGGTATGAACCTGCACAGGAAGAACATGGCGCTGGGCTGACATCATTCTCCTGCAGCTGCTGCGAAGGCCAGACCAACAGTTCAGCAATGAAGGACTTCCCATTGCCATGATAGCACCAAACTGTATACTTCTATATCCAACTGGAAGCCCTGAAAAGGGAGTCCACACTTGACAAGTACATTGGGTGAGTGTGTGCTCTGGATGCAGATGTGATGTGAGAATCCAGTAAAGATGCGTCAAACTTTATTATATTTTTGCACACCTCCTGAGCAATTTATTAGCTTATTAAATTGTAAACTTAGGATGCCTGTTTGAATAAAAAAATAAAATGCTCCAGATAAAGGAAATCGTAAGCAGTAATAATGATTAACAGATGGTTGGATTTTATGTTTTATGTCAGGAATTTATTCCTGCTTGTTTATAGCTTTTCAAGAAATGATGTCAAGGTTTGTTTGGAAAATTGGCTCTGTTAATGGAAAGCTCACTAAAACCTGGAACTAAAACCTATGTTTTTGTTAAAACTATTGTTATTAAGTCTTGTACAATCTGCAGCATAATGACTGTAGCATATATTGATCGGAACAAATACAACATTCAGCATTTGGCTTCGTTCTGCAAAAAAAAGTGATGATAATATGAATTTTAGTTGAGCGAATCACTCATACTCTTGGCAAGCTGGGAAACGATTCAGTATTCACCTAATAATGAAAATGACAACAACGATGCTGTGGTGATCAAAAACGGAACCCAATATTCTAAGTGAGATCTCTCCTGTGCGTTGTTATAATATTGTTTGTGAATTTAGCACTTAGCATTTTGTGTGATTTGGCACATGAGGACATGGTAGAATCTACACAAACAACCAGATCCCTTCCATATTTATCTTCCTGCAGCACAGAAGCACCCATGCAAAGCATACAGTGTATGTTCCTTGCCTACAATAAATCACTTTGCACTTTTCCTTTGGCAAGTGTCTGTCTAGTCTCCGATATTGTGTCTATTTCTTTATTTCCCTTGTCTCAGTTTGTACATTTTGTACATTTTTAATGTTCTGTATTATCCAACTTTAACTAGCTTTCTAACTATATACTCTAAGAAGCTAAGAATTTGCAACTAACCTAAAACAGATCCCTGTGGCACACCAACATTTACACCATCATATTGTTTTCTCTTTGTTAAACATTCTTCTCATTCATGTGCTACATAATCTTGGTTTCCTATAGCTCTTAATTTGAAATGTATGCCTCTTATGAAAGTCCATATCAGATGTATTCTAGACATAATCTAAATATACCAAGTCATACAGTATGCTGTATGAAAATCCTTGTTTCTTGTCAAGCAGGCAAGCAACATCAATATCATGAATTATAAGCAATGTAATGCGCTATACACCCTTCACTCCTGTGAATGTGCACTGCAACTCCATACACCTTTCCTGCTATTAACAATTGCAGTATAATGTACCAATTGCAGCGCATTAAAGGAAACTATTAAACAGCCCATTTATTTGTTTTACAAACATAAGAGTACCATGTCTTTCAAAGCATTTAAATCTCTCCAACTACATATCCCTACAAGTAAACATGCACTTTACAGTACAGATTATTATAAATAATCCCTACACTTGTGAGATTTAGTTTCATGAGACCCATAATTCCCCCCAGACACAACATGTCAGGGTTTGACTAATGAGGCAGTGATATGAAGAGGCGTCATGATATCAGAATCAAAGTGCTTAATGTGACTGACAAAAACACCATTAAACATAATGGAGGTCAAGATCTTTAATGTACTCTCACATAACATTGGTAAATATGTATAAAAACAGCATAAATAATAGGTCTAAGTAATTCAGTGAAGCCAAAGACATTGTGCACTAAGTGACTTGTTACCACAGAAAATATTAGTGATTTGTTCCATTATTTTAACGATTCATTCAATCTTCAAAAGCAAATTCATTCAATCAACAAAAGCTGTAAACTAAATGGCACAAACTGAGGGGTGAAGCCTTTGGAAGTGGCTACAGGATCTAAAGGACCCAGAATTAAAGAAGTGTTGAGTCTGAGCAGGGTTTGGGTTTTAATAATGAGCAGAGTACAGTGCTTCATTCTTTACTTGAAAAGGACATTCTGAAATGGAGAAGAGGCATGTCAGTTTCAGAACCAAGCTGCCTCCTCTTGTTATGCCCACTTTTGCTGGCAGTTCAGCGCACTTGGTGAAAAACCAGACACCTTTCCTACAAGGAATGGCTGCATAATGATTGAAAGGCACTTAGACAGTGAATTGGAAGAGATGTCAAAGCTGTCCTGTTCTCAGAACTGACCACAGTAGCGTGAGACTTGATTTATAAAAATTACTACGAAATTGTCCACCAGAATTATTAAATTAGTCTGACATAACTGCGCAAAAATCTGAATGGAATAACAGAAAGCACGAACTGCTGTATGGAACTAAAGTGAGTACATTTGCAAAAATGCCCTCTGCATTAAAAGGGTCAGTGCACAGTGATAGATTTCTTTCATATGAAAATATCACTTTATATTAATTTCACCTTATTTTATTAGAATCAATCAAATGAGTACTATTACTGAAAAAAAGACTTAGTAAAAGAGACCATAATTTAAGACAATTTCTCAGGACAACCAAAAATGTAAACTGACAGTCCCTCTACCTTCATTATTACATCCATTCATCCAAAGGCTGCTTAATCCAGGCAACCCAGAGCCTGCATTTTATTTATATCCATCCATTTCATAACCGTGCACACCCTAGATGGAACACCAGTTCAAACACAAACTCACATCAGAGAATAACCCAAGTCAAGCAATCAACCGTTATACTGTATCTCTGCACTGTGGGAAGAAACTAAAGCACCTGGAAGAAACTCACACATACACAAGGGGAACATTCAAACTCCAAACAGATAGAACACCTGAACCCAATTTTATTTATTTTCTGACACTGTTTTCAAAAGCAGCTAACTTTATACTAAAGCAATCTGAGACAAGCTTATTGTTTAAATGTGCCCCACCTGGGATCTGAACCCCACAAACCTCCAGTTATGAGTCCAGATCCCACATTACTGTCTCTTGGGATCATAGGGTGCACATCTGGATACACAAAAGGTTCCCCAGTCCAGAACCCAGGGACCAAGAGCTGTGAGGCAGTAGCACTAATCATCATGACACCATACTTAATGTCATAGTTAAGTATAAAATAGTCAAGCTGCGAATGCTCCATGTTTTCCCTATGTGAACATTTAAATACACTTACCCCGCATTCCTGTAACACTTATTTTTTATGAGCTTCTAAGATATCTGTCTTTGGTAGACCACAAAGGCATGAGTATTTATCATTCAGAAGTATTCTGGCATGAATGCGTTTTGTGGGTTTGAAAACAGAGCTGCTTTCAATCCCTTGGCCACCATTAATGAAAATATCATTTCAGACCATAAAAAAGATAGTTCTATTAATAGAACAAAATGGGATGTAAAGAAAATCCAAGTGCGTTCCTTAAGACTGAAGCAATAAAATGAAATGAAAACCTCTTCACTCAGCAGAAAATGCGATATTGCTCTTCAAAAGATCAGATATGTTACTTGTTTCTACGTAGAAGGATAGACGAAACACCCTCAGGATATTCTGTGGCTTTTAATGAGTGTCGGGTTTACTATAATGGATCCACAAATATAAGGGATAAGTTGATATATGAATACAAAAGAAAACACACGGGCCACTTCTACGTCTCCAATGAAGCTCTCTCTTTCACACACCTCTGGAGCAATCTCTACTGATGGTGAAAGCAGGAGGTGCTTTTCTTGGTTATGAGAAAAAAGCTGCTTTAAGGAGCAGATGAAAATTAATGGATATGAACTCACGTTGGCTCCTCTGAAGCAGCTCTGGGTCCTTCCAGTTCCTGTGCTTGTTTAAACCAGGGCAGTTTAGCTTCCACAGGAAGTTTTTCTGGAAGAGTGTAATGCATAAATCATTCATCTGAGCCCTCAGAGTCATGCAGGGATGGAACACTTATGAAGCCTAACTGGCTCCTGCTTGTTCATCCCAGTGCCATTAAACAGTTAACCCTTTCACCTGGGATCACCAACGGATAAATGACATCCATGTCAAAGAATATATATTGTATGTTAATTGTGATTCTTCTCAGAAAACTCCCTTCCTTGTCTCTACAAGAGAGAGAAGAAATGGTAGGGAGAAATGGTAAGCCACTGGCAGGGATATAAATCACAGCCTACTTCACTGCTAATCAGAAGCCAGAGACCAGACTCTCCTCTCTGTGGTAGCTGGACATCTTATTCATCAAGGAGCTCCCCCACACATTAAACAAGCTGGTTCTTACTTATGTTACTGAACCGAAAATAATATTTTGAAAAGATTTTTGTTCTTTCAGTAAAAAAACACCCAGGATTATTAATCACATTATGAGGCCCAAGACAGCGGTCAGTGGCACTGAAGTAGCAATATTTTCTCTGATGTCTGTGCACATTGTGCAATCTGGCTGTACTTCAGTGTTCCTTTGCTCTGCTATTCATCTTGCTAGCTGGCAAGAGGTATAGGCAGAGGCTAAAGTAGAAAACTGCTCTAAAACCCCAGCAAAGCCTACTGGTCTGAGTAAGCCACCAACATTGATAGGCCAACAAATTATTTTGGGTTACATCAATAAAATGGCTGCTACAGATAAGCAAGACATCCTCTTTTTTCCTCCAAACTCTACAAATTACTGCATGCCTGATTTTTACCATTTGCAACAACTTGTTTTGCATAAGCATGAAAAACTTTCAGAAACAAAAATCACAGAAAGCTATTGTATTTATTCTCGGTAGCCATAACTGTACTCTAGTGCTCTCCTGGATTTTTTTCAGGCTGCAATTTTAGATAGTTTCCACATTACAATCTATCAGGCTCAGGAAGGATTGCATTTAACTGGCGGAGTGCATATAACCCACTGTTGTCATCCTTAAGAGCTGTTCTTGCTCTGGCGTTTCTCAGACTTGACTCATCACTCGGTTGTCTGGGGAGCCAGGCTCTTGCTTAGCATCGCCTGTCATCCATACTTTTAGAGTAAACCCTATAGGCATCTAAAGTCAAGGTGAGGGAATGAAAAGATGCCTGAATTGTACAGTAACTGTTGCATGAATTGGAAACAGATGATAACCTGTCCATGTGACTTTAAATTTCTAATATTTTTTTATTCAGATGTGAATTAGCCTCTCCAGCCTTCTGATACCACCTTCTTCTTTGCAGATGAGGCATGTGCTTATACTGTAGCCTTCTACCCAGGAAAGTGTCAATCTTCTTCAAATGCACTGAGGATACAGAGTTCCCAGATGGAGCACAAAAGACCACTTAATGACAGGTCTAGCATTTCAATCACTCAATACAGAATGCACAGTCTTTTTTAATATAATATGATCGTTCTGCGCAATTAAGACCAGCGGCCGCTGCTGACTATAAAGCATACCTCTGGGTTTGTAGCATGCGATAGGAACCACACAGTCTTCTTTGATATGGGGCTTGAGCTGTGGGTTACAGCCTCCTGTGTGCTGTCCGCGGTGATCAATACACAGAACCACTCTGTAACGCAAGCCGCGGCCACAGGTAACAGTGCACTGGAAAATTAACAAGCAATTACAATGCCATATCCCTGACAACCCTCAGGATATAAACATGACTCCATTTCTCATGCACAATAAATCAACAGACTCAAGTGCATCCTCTCACAGACTCCCACCCCCACAGTGTCAAGAAGCCTGGAGGCATAAAGATTAAACTGGGAGAAATTATAATAAAACCGTAGATGGCTAGAAAGAGCCCAATGAATTTGGTCAAAACTAAACAAATGTTACAGTTTGTCATGGCTATATAACCCAGAGTTAGTAACTGTCCTTCCTCTTAAACCTACAAAAACCTTTTGTTTATACAGAATGGATTTAAATGTGCTCACAACTTGGATTCCGACCAATGGAGACATTACCATTGTTCAGACGTGACTTGAAGTTAAAGTTAATTTAATACTTCCCTCTGCTACATGAGGGAAAAAAACACAAGAGCACTAGATACATTTAAATCTGTTTGTAATAACAATACAATGTAGAACCGCATTGTGGAAAATTCATATTTCTGTCCATCCAGCTTCTGCTTTTCTTTGCCTGCCCAACATTACTCCCACTTCTATTTTATTTTATTTCTATTTAATCACTGACTGGGTTCGTTGGGAGTCGTCCGGGGGATTTGTGACAGCAGGCCTCCCAGGAAGAGCAGAAACTCTCTGGAAATCTTAGCTCACCTGGGACCATTCCATAGCCACCCACTTGGGGCAGTCAAACACGTTGCAGGTCTGCCTCAGTGAGGGTCTGGGCGAGTACGTGCACTTCCACTCTTCCACCTGGGATATCTGGCCGTGCATGGATTCCTCAACACACACCACGCTCCTCTCCTGGTGGCCCCCTCCGCACGACACCGAGCACGCTGTCCAGGGGTTGTGTTCCCAGCTGGGGAAATAGAGAACACATGGCAGGTTTACACTCCAAACACACCTCAGAGCGAAATACTCTTCACATCTCGCATGTATGGCTTCATCATCAAAGATGTACTCTACACCTCCCTAACAGCTTTCCTTTGGTAAGTTTACAAATGAGATGAGGCCACAGAGCCCAATGAGAGCATTTAGAAGATAGTAGCTAAGTGACCCAAGGATCACATCCAGCCATTTCTTAAAATAAATGCTGTTCCAGACGCTCTGGTCCCTCAGAAGTAAATAAAGTGCCTCCTGTTCTTGGTTTGAACTGCACAATATAATTCAACGCAGTTTCCACAGGTGCCCTCTGGATCGTGTTTCACTGTTCATCCTAAAGAAGTCTGCTGTGTTGACTTTGTCAAAGCCTTTCAGGATTTTCTGAATATTTGTATCAGGTCCCCTCGGAAACTTCAAGTACAAAAGTAATAAAGACAGGAGTAAAACGGTTTAGCTCCTTTAGCCTGTCAGTATAGGACATTCCCTTAAGCCCCAGAGTGTATCTAGTTGCACTTCTCTGGACTGATTCCACAGCGGCAATATCTTTTTTGTTACATGGTGACCAATAATTTACACAATATCCCAAATGTGGTCTTACTATCATACTGTACATTTTCAGCACATAATCGCCTTGATTTAAATATTTATTGCTTTCCCCAATTGTCTAGAAGATGTAAATAACATGTCAATATAAATACCAAACCTTTTTCAGAAATAACTTGTTCAAGATCAGTGTTACCCCTTACGTATCTATACTTTATTCCTTTGCCAGCTACATGTAATATTCTGCACTTCTGTCAACATTACAAGTTTTCTTGCTCAGTCCTGGAACTTTTAAAATTTATTCTTGGAGCTTCTACTATGTCTGTAAACTACTTTGGTACCTCTATATCATATTAGATATTTATGTAGATCATAGACCTAAATTTGGAGAAGCAACGGTATGGTCCTAATATAAATCCCTGTGGTACTCTGCTAATTGAATTCACCCCGTAGCCATAATTTCTATTTTCTATCTATTAACCAGCTCTCAAAGTAAAACCACAACATTTTGAAAGCCCATAAGCCTAATGTGCACACCCTGAAGCCTGATTTTTAATGCAAAACTGCATCAGAACCATTCTGAAAATCTAAATGTACCATATCATGTGCTCTGTGTGCATCTCTCACTGTTGTTGCTTGTTCATGAAAAATGTAGTTAAGATCTACCATTTATAAAACCATGTTAACTATCTCCAAGAATCTTATTTTGATACACAGTAAGTAATCCTCTAGATCAGGTCTAATATTACATAAACCCATATGTAATAGAAATATGATTCATTGACTTATCATATTACCAATTTTCCAGTTCATGGGTAGTACATTGCCTTGAGTGACTGTTCGAAAAGTTTCACTAGAGACCCACGTATAGCATCTCTTGTTTCCTTCAATACAATTTACAAAAAACCACCAGGCCCAGAAGATATGTTAATATTAAGTTCTTCTAGTACACATACATTAATTATTCTGCCTCATCTATGCTAGTCCTATATAATGTAGAACTTTGTCCTACTGTACCTCATCTTGAGGCATGTTTTTGATTTCTTCATTGGCAAACACCTAAAGTAAGTGGAATATTCATTTAATACATCTGTAATTTTCCTTTCATCATCTAGGGTTTTCCATTGATACATTTTACTTCATGCTCTCCAATTCTTTTGCTCTCACAACTGAAAAAAAAAATTCAGTCTCCCATTGAAATATTCTATTCTTTCTCTTGGTTTTTTTTCCCATGCTTGCAATTCTTTAACTGCATTCCATCTTGCAGCTGTTTTTATGAAGTGCTTACTTCCTCCTTATTTTTCTTAATTGATTTTTAAAACCATTTGGGTCACTGCTTGAGTCACATTTGAATTACTTACTCTTGGAAGTAATCTGTTCTCTACTTGAAGTTGAATGCCTTTAAAATGTTGCCATCCATTCTCCACGGCTTTCATATACTATTTAGGCCGTCCCAAAAGATATCCATCTAGCCCCGCTCTGTAGCTCTCATTCCTTTATAATCCGATTTCCTTAAATTTTAAACCTTTTGATTTGAACTCTATCTGCACAGTTTCAAATGTACCTCCAAGCATGCCACGCTATGATCCCTAATGGTATTTTCACCTTCATTTTCTGAGCAAGAAAACAGTCATTACTCCTGCCTACAATTTCATTTTCAGCTGCCAACATTTCTTTTTTTTTCTCAATCCCTCTGCAAGGAAAGTCTAAGTCCCGCTGAAACCATTTCATCCTTGCACATAATTTCAATACAATGTTGAATTAATATTAAGATTAATATTGGTTATCTGTAGAATATTACCAACATGAAGCATTTGTAATGTTTGTATCAGTCTGACTACATACTGTAGGTTCTACGACCTTTCATTCCTCTAGATTGACTGCCTTTGCCTACATATTCTTCTTGATGTATCACCTTTCCTGTCCTGTCTTCATCACCATTAGCCAAGTTTCTGCAATTCCAATTACATCACCATCTTGGTAATAGGACAGTTTCTGCTTCTATTGCAAACATTTTGTTTCTAATACTCCTAGCATTTAGCTTCAAATCTTTCCAGTAGATGTTCCTTGGATTCTCACCCCTTTTGCTCTAATGAAATACTTCTGAATTTCCCTGTGATGATTCTTGAAGAGAGGTCAACTGTTCCTTTCCAGTTCTGCTACAGTTCTGTTTGAGAACTCTTCAGATTTTTACATGGTAAACATTCGATTAATAGTGATTTTGTATGAAAAAAACAATTTGCCAATGTGATTGTGTCAACTAATGTTATAGTGTTTAAGATTTATTTTTTAGTACTGGGTTTTCAGAGTTTACATACTGTAGTTATTAAAGGAAATAAGTTCTGCTGATCTTTTTTTACCAACAGTATTTTATTTCCAATACATAAATCTGCCTTACTGTGAATATACCCTTTGAGCCCACTTAAACATCCCATGAAGAAAGTATTGCAGCCTAAAAGGCCATCAAGCTACAAGAAATCAAACTTCAAACTACAAAGTACTGGAAAGGAAGAATAAAGCTACAATGATGTCTTGTTTACCAGCATGCACAAGTGACATTTTACACTACAGTGTATTAATGACCATTGACAGTATATGTCAGTTACAAATTGTATGTCCTTTTGTAAAAATGTATTTTAAAGCTGAAGCAAACTGAAAGTGACAGGAAAGCAAGCTATCATGCTATCATGCTATCATGTGTATCATGCTAAGTACAGTAGTGTACTGCAGCTACAAGCCCTCTAAAATATGAATAATGGGCCTCTAGCAATAGCTGAAATATGTACACAGATGGTGTCAAAACCAATAAATCAACACTGAAGCGTCGATAATCATCACCTATATGGCACTGTAGGAAGTTGCCATGGGCAGAGGTCAAGATTTCAGCTCAGTTTAAACGATCCACTGTGTACTTTGCTTAATAATAAATCATTGTAAAGATGCACTAAAACCTTGAGAAGCAGGTAGTCTACAGTAGCTTTAAGTACATGCAAAACCACACTCTCTTCATTATGTAAGATATAAATGTATAAAATATATGCTATATTTTATAGACAGGAATGTTTCTTTAAAAAGGAATTTAAAAATAGAAACAACTTTAATTTAGCTGTGACAAATACAAGTTTCCATGGGTTTCTGCTGACTCTTCTTCTGGGCTCAAAGTTTATTTGCAAAAATACATGTTATTACAACTTTAAATTATTTTAAAAGCAGCTGCATACTTGATAGTTATTTTATTCAATGATTTAGGCCATTAGAGGTGTGAAATACAGGCGGCTCTGGTTTCCTGAGTTCTGTCAGGGCATTACTACCACTTACCGGGGCAGAGGCTGAAAGTGGTCATAAGGCATGATCTCCTTGAAGCCATCACTTGAAAAAGAAAATCGTACAAGTCGGTTTAAAACCATAAAAATGGTAAATTCTGCTCTCATTTTGCTTTTGTGTGCACATATATTTTTGCATTTTATTTGCACAAATGAGAAGGTGTACGACAGTTCTGTTTCTTGTAGCACAGTGATTGAAAGAAGAGATATTAGAACAGACAGACGAATGGAAGGATACATAGAAAAAGATAAATGGATCTTCAGTACAATGTGTGGAATTAGATTATTCAGTTATGAAGTGATGTACATCGGGATCCCAACATTTGCGAGAGTTAAGTGCAGAGAACCATCACAAATAGTCAGATTTGCGCGTAACCAATTCCACTCCCATACGATTGGATAATGTACCACAGTATATAGAATGTAAGGTTACAAGACGATAATTAAAATACAAATGCATTGGCTTTAAGTTAATTTAAACAACACTGATCAACTAACAGAAACAACAGTAATCACACACTTAAAATAATCATTTATTATGAATCCTTCCTTTGCGTCCAGCATATACTTTCTCTGTCTCCAGGCAGCTAATTTGAAAGTTGCGGTTAACAACCTTCAGCTCGGTTTCATCCTGCTCTCCTCTCCTATCATCCAAGACACAGGTGGCCAGACCGAATTGCAAATAAGCATTTTCAAGCATGTTAAATTCACAGATGTTAAGACCCTGCCTCACAAATGCTGTAATCTTCATCCTTTGCAGATGAATGCTATCATCTAAAATGTTCGATACACTTGGCATATCTTTATCGCCAAAAGCCATCATTATTATTTGCACAAGTAATGGCTATCAAGGTGCACAAACACCGCCAACCTTGCTGGGCAGGGGTCCATATTACACTCCTTCAGCTTGGGTTTGGGCTTCTTGTTCTCAGGGTAGATGCGGCAGTGGTGGTCTGGCAGCACACGGTTTGAGCGAATGTCAGTGCACTCTGCCGAATTCAGCTGATAACCTGCAGCGGATGGAAATATTCCAAGCCTTGGTTAGTGGCAGTGTTCTTAAGAGATGGAAGGTAGAAAGGGTTGTTCTGAAGTCTTCTGGCTTCTGATGACAATTTTTGGATTGTTTTATAAAAATAAACTAAAAATAATATCAGAAAAGAGTTATGCAGTTTGGCCAGCACAAAGGAAGCCTTACCTCCTCCACAAGTGACAGTGCAAGGGAAGAAGTCCGTCTCCCTCCACTGATAGCTGATGGGCTGATAGAACAGAAACTGTACCAGTGTGTCCCGGGGGGCAGCATACTTCACCTGCAGCCAAACAGAGAATTTATTACATTGACAAAAACTCAAGGGCATATAATCCCTTACTAAACATGTAATAATCCTACATGTCACCTGTAAACCATGGCGACAACCCTGGGTTATTTTAAGAAGTGATTCAAAGTGCTCTTTCAGGTACAACTCCACATGCCTGACCTGCACAGCTCATGTGAGCCTTGTACCCGCAGTGCCTCTGGGGCGGAGATCTGGGATGCTCTTTAAGCAACTGGGGAGTATCCTGTGCAAGCACTGTTCTTATTATTGGGGAGTGAGCTCACTAAAACAGTCTTGAGCTAGCCCTCTTGTGTCACACCTATGCCTACACCAAGGTAAAGGAATGAGTAACACCAAGTAACGATACAGTACATTTAGTCCAGCACTAGTTTTGTCTGTTCTCCTTCCCCTGAAACAATCCCTCTAAAATATCAAGTAAAATTATCGATAATTTTCTTTCTAGAAAACAGTTCAATCTTATAACTGCCAGTTTTATTTATTTTATTTGTATTTATTACACAATTATTTTTGTTAACAAGGCCCCTTTACCACATTATTTATCCTTGCATAGAATAAAGATCACAGATAAAGTTTATCTAAAATAAAGCAGCTGTTGCAACATAAATTAGTAACTCTCACCCTAACCCAAGATATTTTATCTTTTATGAAAAACAATGGCATCCAAATTAGATATTGGATCACAAAAATTATGGAGTCTTGATTAAAGAAATGATTTAAAACTAATAAAAAAATGCAACAGCTAATGAAACATATTAGATTAAAGCAACATATTTTCTAAACTAAACAAGCCTAATGTGGATAACGTGCAGTAAATTTGCTTTGTGGGCGTGGATCCAAATCTTAAGAGGCATTACATCACTTGTTCCATATTAAATACAGCATCTTACACAGTACATGCAATGGAATATCTTCAAGCCTTGCTTTGCAGACAATGATGATGATCAGAACAGTCATGGCATGCTGGTTCAATTTAACATAGATGTCCATCAGTTTATTCTGTACATATGCAGTTTAATGCTGCCGTGGTAGCAGAAGCCTTCTGGAAGGTTAGATTTTGCAAATATTACAACACATAACTAAAATTAGGAAGACGAGTTGTCCTTTTACACAGACAATTTTTTGGAAGTACTAAAAATAAGTTGATAAGCAATCATAGTGAAGAAAAGACTTCTTGCTCCTACCTTTATTATAAAGTCAGCTCCCAGGGGCCCGTGAGCCCTGATAGTCTGCCTGTCCTGGCTTTTCTGGACCTCCACTGTTGTGTTCTCTATGACGTATGTTCCTGAAGTGGTGAAGTTGTGCTCCTCCTTTCTTCCCTGAAGTGTCTGAGACTCAATGACTGAAAGGAAACACTAACTTGATGTGGTACCATAATACAACTCGGGACTACTCCAAAACATGGTTATACACAGCCAAAAATCTTACTACATGCAACTCAGGGTGAAATGACCAAATTCTTTCCATCAACATACTGTGACACCCACTCTGGGAGAAGAGCTGATTCATGCACCCGTAACACCATGGCTGGCAGTCAATCTGCTAATCAGCTCATTCCCCTGGCAACATAATTGGACAGATTGTGAATCCCACCTGTGTATAATTAAATATTAAATATACTTATTTAATAATTTCATATACTTTAATATACACTTCTTTCAGCAGGATATTTAACACAGCTTTGACAGCACCTCCCTGCTCAGTCTAAGTGCTTGCTTGCTAAGCCTCTGCGTTTTGTCCTTTTTCACTTCTGGCTTTGAATCTCTGACTGTTCTTCCAGAACATTCCCAGATCACCTCTTGTGGTGTTAGTGTCTTACTCGAGCTCATCCTGGACCGGCCTGATGGGGAACTCTCTCCTGTGCTTCTGAACTCTTTTTTGTCGAACTACACTTGGGATATCGGTTGTGCTATTGGTTGATTTACCAACTTCCGAGCTGAACTGATCTGTGTTACTTTCTGGTATCTATTTGTTCCCTTGCCTGTCTGCCCATTAGTGAATATCTCTCTTGCCTACCTACTCGCATGTAGGTTTGTACAGTATCTATTACAAATACAGGACCAGAAAACCTAATTCAACTCCAATAATGAAATGTGAAAGAAAGTTTGGCTTTGATTAAAGGGACAGCCACTGGTAACTTGAACTTGAATTCAGGTCCCCTAAGATAAATTAAAGAAGTAGTAAATTCGCAATAGGGATGGAGTGTTATAAATACTGTGGAATAATAGTCTACATGAAGCTGGAGCTGGTAATTGGCAGGAATTGAGGCTACAGAACTTTCAATATGATCTGCTGGGAACAGGTACATAAATCCATTAACCCTATTTTTTGTTGTGCAAGTTGAGCAATTACTTTAACAAGTAATCAAAGTATTTTGATTTTATCAAAGTATTTATGACTTTATCTAGTACTGAGTTGTACTGTATGTGACACCAGAGCCTATCCCAGCAAGCAGTGGCGTAAGGCAGGATACATGGGACACTATCACAGGACGCACACAGACACAACATACTGTACAAACCCCATGCAGATAGCACTCCAGGAACTGAACCCAGTTGGCAATACTAACCACTGCAACAGTGTACCACCCTTTGAGCAACTGTGATCCTGCTGAACTGCTAAAAGTGTTTGAGGGGAAAAAGAAACCCCAAATGTAACTACTATAGTATTTTTTAGACTTGGATATTAACAAATTACTGAATAAAATGTTTTCAGTTTTTCATTTATCAGAATATATCATCCTCACAGTTTTCACGAGGCAGAACATTCCTAAAAAAATGTTTTCGATGAACAAACAACTCAAAATAGCATTTGTGTCATTCTTTTCCAAATATTGAAGTGTGATCTCTTTTCAACATTATTTGGAATGTTGAGAACAAATTCAGAGTTTTCAGAAATCGAAACAATATTGATAAATAATTGTCATATCATATAAAATAATCACACATAATCTCATAGACTATTAAAATTTCCTTTATGAAGGAAACAAGATTATACATTTTCTAATGAGCTTCAGATAACATTTTGTTTCAGCTTCATTTTATGAACTAGACTCTCACGTGTCAAGTTTTTAAACTTTCACTTGAACTGTTTTAGCTCTTTTCACCTTTAAACTTCTCTATGTTTATCCATCCTTGTTATTAGTCTCTTGGCATTTTAGGAGTGAGCTGTTAAAGCAATTTCAACCTCACTTTCAAATCCAGTATTTGAAATATCAAATAGCCAAAAAGCCTGGAACTCTGTGTTGTGTTGTTTGCCACCAACAATTGAAAAATTGTTTCATACTAAAAATACTGGTAGAGGAGTGTAGGTCTGAAAAGAAAGTATTCTTGTAGGAGAACAAATTGTTGAAATCTCCAGTGGACAGCTTACTAACATCAGTTGTAAGTCTGTAAGATCGTATCGCTCTTCAGCTACATTCCAAGACTACAATGGTAATCAAGACTAGAATGGTATCTCCTAATGGGCCAATCACAAGAGTTGATGGGAAAGGGCCTATAGCTGTTAATTTATTGTTGTCTTGGTACCCTTGTTGTTAACAGTATGTACTGTAGCACAGCACAGAGAAGGTACATTACATTACAAATGTAACATTACAAAATGTGGCAATGTCTTTGGTGCCAAGCGCTATACAGTACGTGGTACTTGTGTTCAGTGTAGTATAAAGAGTGCAGAGAGAACTTGGGTTTTTTGAGGCAAGAACTTTCATGTTTTAAAACTTCACTGATATGGAACAAGGGGTTTCTCATAGTATTCAGTGGCTCGAGCTGCAGTATGATGACTTCTTTCATAAATCAGACAGCTGATATGCTGCCAAGACGATACCAGATGTTTAAAAGAGGAATGAGTATGAGACACAGTAACAGCCTGAAGGAAGAGAGACTTTAACCTCATCCAAGGAGCAGCCTCCTGCTGAAAGTGATCCAGTACCTGTAGATTTACAGATAGTTTTCTTTCTTTTTTTGCAGAAATGGAAACTAAGGCTACTCAATGATAATATAACTAGTGTGTTAAAAAGGACTTTCATCTCCATAAATTTCAACACCTAGAAATATTTTATATATAATGTGATTATTGTCATTAACACAGCTGCTTTGGCTAGTGAGAGAAGGAAACAGTGACCTATTGTATCATAAATTGGGAAATATGAGGAAGCTGCTGCTGAAGAATGTATGTTTTCTTACTTTTTTTTTCATTCCATCTGTTAACCTTTTTAATAAATTTTGATTTTGAATATCCCATAAATTGTACATTGCAATTCTAAGCTTAATTATTTTAACTGAATTCATCAATTCCTTGCATTTGCATAGGGTTTTCAATCTGCCCTGCCTCCAACACATGTGTGTTGCACCTGTGCTACAATTTTTCCAGAATGGAGATCCACTGGTATCACCTCTGATGCTTATTAACCTATCGCTCAATAACACGATCTCCACGGGACACCGGCAAAATCCTGTAGTACAACTTGTTCAATAATAACACAGCAGAGGAGACCATTCAATAAACGAAAATGATGTTTTAGTTCCATTATTTCACCACCATGAAATAATTCACCTCACTGCTGAGCTGGCCCATGATTGGCTGGCTCACCAAACCGTCATGCACTTCAGCCATAGGGGCCTACATGACCCCCAGTGACATCTGCCCTCCCCCAGTGGATCAAGCATTTCATTAGGATCAACAGCACCCTTTCAATCACCCAGTGATTTTGAGAAGGGGAGTGGCCCATAAGGACGTGATGGTGAAAATGCCTTTAACATTTACTGTTACTTAATGTGATAGAATCGCTCAGGTGGCAGGGTGGCACAGTAATTAGCATTGCTGCCTCACAACGCTGGAGCACTGGATTCAATTCCTAGGATGCTGTCTGTTTCCTCAAACAGTCCCTAAATGACTTCTTGGAAAACTGGAAAACTATTTTCAGGAATGTAGGACTTTTTACATACTGTATACTCACTGAGATAATCAGGTCCTTTTGCTGTAATTCTCATATTGCGGCTCCCAAGTGGAACTTCAATCACAGTTTTTATCACTATATGCATATAAAAGAAACAAATAATGTTATTAGAATCTGTCTCCAAACAATGCATTGAATATACTGTATAATGAGAGTAAGCAGTAACATCACTGAAATTGTTTCATCTACACAGATCAATTCAAACCCTTCAAACATAAACCTGAATTCTTAAATCAGAGATGAAAACCTAGACATTAAATAATGTAACTCTATTAGTTTTCAGAGTTGGCTATGATGTCTTCGGCATCATAAAAATGCAGCTCAATATATGCATAATCCTGGAAGAAGGGTGTTAAAACTTCCTCCAATTATCTTATCAAAACAAATGAAATACAAAAGATGTCATAGTGCAGCCATGTCAGCCATGTGCTGCTACTAAAAGACATGAATATACAGTACTAACTATGCAAAGATTTAACATACTGTATCAGTAACAAGTGCAAGAAAAACTTGTTTAAAAGAGGAGAATTTAAATATTCCCCTTTGTTTTAAGAAATTATAAATGCCAGCAATATTTTTCAGCAGATTGCACCATGCACTTAAAAAATACTGAAGTGCTTTAACCAAAGAGACTTAACATACCACACAAGGTTGACAAGTAATAAATTACCTTCAGTGGTATGCTTTTGGGACATGGCGCTGAGTGTACCACACCACAGAGGGCTGAGTATCAGATCACAAAACGGTATTTACTCAGCTAGTAACATGAAGCTGAGCTGGATGCCCACTGCAGCTAGTGGGAAATACAAATCTAATCTCACATTTTTAACTACAGTACTTCAAGACACATTAGGAGCCCCATGAATCAGCTAAGGGCTTTCTCCGCATGGCCTTTTGCAACTGTACAGCCTCTCCCACATCACAAACCAATAAGAAGGCCTTGTTTGTATCAACCTAGATTAGCATCTGCCCAGCAACAGGATGCTGTTAGATGTGTTGTGGGGATAAAAGTGCTTTAGTTAGCAACTATTCTGAGTGGGTCTATAAACAGCACATAATTGCAGTCCAATTTAACAGCTTCTCCAAATTTATACAAATCACTCCTTACAGGAAGAGCTGTCAGACTTTGAGGAATTTGGGGGAGTGGACTGGATCTCCAGTTCCTTGGAAGCTGAGGTTTATATTAACCAAAGATCTCAGTTAATTTCAGAATGCTCATTCATTAATTCTAATCAATGTAAAGATCAAACTAGGTTGACAAATATCCTGAGGCACCTAAGATCCTAAAATATGATTTGAACACACATCTAAAAATGAAAGCTGTATATACTTTATACAGTATGTTATGACTCAAAGGCTCTAAAAATCCTAGCAAAAGCTTTGCAACTATTTCAGCAACAGAAAATCCATGAAATCACAAGGTACAAACTAATATGAAAATATTTTACAGGAATTATTTTGAATTATTATTTTAAGAATTCCACATTTTCAAAAGTTTTGTGATATCCTTGTTGATCCTTAAAACATTACCTTGCATTAAAACATATGTAGTGAGATTTAATCAATGATACATAAATCGTGGTAAGATATGTATAAATTATTTGATTTAAATGCATTGTATCATCCATTGGAAATTCCAATGCAGAACATTTAGAGTATACCCGTCTGAGCTGAAATCAAAGGATAAAACATTTTGCAATCATAATAACTTAGTAACAGTACTAACCATGCCATTCCAAAACAAAGAACATTAGTTTGGCAAGTGAATATGGTTTACTAGAGCACAGAAACAAGCTTCCATCGTTTTGTACAGGTGCATTTCAAAACTTTATTGACAATGTTATTTTAACTGCCATCGCTGTTCAGAAAAAAGGAACCTTGACCCCTTGTCTTTTACACAGTAAACTTAATGTCATGAATGTTGTATGACTTAATTGTAACAATCGCACAACTATTACTGAACATACTTGAGGTGAGTTAGATTATGTGCACCAAGTTGGATTCAAATGTTCTAGCGTTCTGATATCATGTAATAGTTGTAGAATGCTTTTTTTAACAGGTTACACATTTACTTTGATGTACTGTAAAACTATACCCTCTAACATTTTTGAAAATATTCAGAACATTTAGCTTTGTAAACTTGTTTTGGAAATTCAATGGACAAACAAAATCTGACTGAATGATCCTGTTGGGACATTTTTTATTCATCATACCATTGTATGATTTATGATTTATGGAGCTTGTTACACTTTGCTTACACTTCTTTACAGAAATCTCTGAGAAACAACTTGCACTCTGCTATTTAAAATCCACAATCTGAAAAAGTGCTTGTCTGTGAGAGACTTTAATACAAATGTAGAAATTCCAAAGAATAAAAAGTAAACTTATACCAAAAACAAATCTCATGAATGGTGGAAGATTCGGAAAAAAACTGCCCAGTCATGTTGCTGAAGCAAATTTCCTGGGATCTTTCAAGAAAAAGCAGTGGAAAAGACTGCTGGAATAATTTGAATTTTTTAATTAGGTAAAAGCCAGCAAATGGCCTCCTTTTATCTACAACCTCTCCTTCAAGTATGTTAAAGGAACTAAATCTCTTCAGAAGTCTAGTATGTTTATGAAGTACAGTATGTATTACTGTATACAGTACTGTATGTATAATTCCACAGATCCTCTGGAGAAAAACATTTAAATGAACTAGCCTTGTAGCATTAAGGGCTTACATCTGAATGTGTATTAATGTGATGTGTCTTGTCATTTATGTACTGTAGGATATGTTTTTCAGAGCTTGAGGGGATTGCTCAGTTTTACTGACATCCACCTGCTTATGAAGCCATAGAGTTCAGAGCTTTGTTGCAACATGTACACTGACTTGCAAAAGTATTCAGACACAGATTTCACATTTTGTTGCTTTACAGCTTGCAGCCGCAACACTTTTAAGAAATAAATATTTTGTTACATATAAAAACTACTCTGTAAAGTCAAAGCAAAACACAAAAGAAAGAAAGAAATAGATTCCTAATATGAAAGACAAATGTAAAGTATTCATACCTTTTTCTATCACAAACCTTTAGGTATACAGAATTACCATAAAAAGCCTCTCACCTGAGTGGCCTCTGTTATGATGGAGCTTTTTAGTCTAAATGCACGTTAGGACTGACGAAAAAATGGACAGAGCAAAGCACATGTAAATACTTGAAGAAAACCTGTTTCAGTCTGCCAACGTCATACCCAGGCTTGGAGTGGCTTGCACGCTTGTGTTGCCCCACCAGCACATTCAGTGGGGAATTCAGCAACCAGTGCATTTGCGTGGTATCTCAGTCCTTACTCAAACCCGTGCACACATGCCCAGAAGGCATTTCTCAACCTCCGGTAATTTATCAATCAGGCACACCCCAATCATCTAATTGAGCACACTGTTTAAGGATCATTTTCTGCCTGATCAGTGCTCCAACATTTAGCTAAATGCTCTCTACTTTTACTCAGTACTGAAGTGCTCTTTTACCTTTCCACTGCCACCAAGGCCACTGAAAAGGCAGGGAAGTTTTTCCTCCTCACCATTTTTCCAGGTCTGCTCTTTTTCTCCTCCACGATCCTCTACCGCTGTCTTCTTCTCATTACGGTTCCCTTCTCTCACTGCAGTTCACCTTCACAGCCCCTGGACATCGGGGACCAGTACATGACAGCTAAAGGCTTAAAACCAGGACCCCAGTTCTTTTCTGTAGGAGAACGTCCCAAAGCACAAGGCCATAGCTGCAGGTGAGTGGCTTTGGAATAAGAAGGCTCATGTCCTTGAATGACCCTGCCAAAGTCCTGACTTGAATCCTATTGACAATTTGTGATCTGACTTGAAAACTGCTGCCCATAAGCAATTCCTACGCAGCTTGAGAGAGCTTGAGCAAGTGAGCCAAAAAGAATGGGGAAAACCTGCACCAGGCCAATGAGCAAAGCTGGTAGAGACTTACCCATGAAGACTTACTGAGGAATGTGAATGTTTATGCAATCAATATATTTCAGTATTTTCTCTGAAGTATTTTTTCCCTGACATTTACTGTAACCTATCTGTAGAAGTCTTTGGACTGTGCACATTCGTGTTTTATAATAAAATATGAAGTTATTTTATAAAATGGGACACATTAAGCAGGGACTGAAAACTTCTGCAAAGCCCTGTAAGTTAAAGAGGTATTTTGCCCCATTACAGACATGTCTTACAGGAAAATATCGGAATCATTTATGAAAGCACTTTTTAATTATAATATGACTTTTTCCAATTTTGTCACTGAGCAAAAATGTTCCATACATCAGGACAACTAAAAGTCTTTATCATCTCAAGTGCTCACGGCATTTTAAATGGAATCGCATTATAATGAGGTATGAGGTTTATGAATAGATGAATATTAATGCTATTTTCTGCAGAGTTAGAGACCAGCTATTGCTTCTGGCACAAAACTCTGCTGCCAACAACTAAGCAAAGCTGGAGGTCAGCCAGCCTCTTTGGTACTGTACAATAATTACATTTGGAAGCAAACTCTCTGGAGCTTGGAATTTATGGGCAGAATTAAATAGGTTTAATACAGTTACAAAGGTACATTTCAATGGCCCCTCAATAATGTTTATGAGAAAAAATCTTATTATCTTGCAACAATGACTGACGTTTGTACAAACATATGCTAAAATAAAGATACTCCTATAACTACAAACCATTTGAGCTTTCAAACCATAAAAATGAACTAAAGCCAAATAATCCATGCACACATGCACGTATTTTGGTTTTCTACCATCTATCCATTAGCAAAAGGCTGGATATGCCTGGTTAGGGTTCCAGCAACCCAGAGTCTTATTGGATACATTGAGCAGAAGGCAGGGCAAGCCTGCCTGGTATCCTACTGAATTTCAATACACAGGATCAATTTGGAAACACCAGGTGAGCATGAAAGTGAGCATGAGCAGAGACACAAGAGTGAGCAGAGCAGATCCAGAAAAAACAGGTGCCCCATGCAAGCATGCAAACTCCATACAGATCCCACTCAGAAGGCAACCCAGGACCCAAGAGCTGTCAGGCAACACTGTTTAATGCCAAAAGACTTTCAAAGAATAACTTGCCGATGAGAAAACATAATCTGTAATTAAATATGAATTTGTTTCTTAAAATGTTTTTCACAGACAGGACTTGTCCTCAAAGATCACTTTCCATCAAGGAATTGCAGGGTGGTATTTGGTTATTCTGAAAGCATTTTCAGCATCCCCACATACTGTAGTTCAAATTAAACTGCTGCATCTTTGCTGCCAGAATCTCATTAGTTTTCTTCAGAGTGCAACATGTATAAGGAGGCAAAAGGCAACTCAGAAATGAGATTCCCTTCCAAAACATAACAGGCTGGAAAAAGCAGAGTATCTGGTTACAAGAGTTATATTCAGAAAGACCACGCAAGTTCTGCTATTGATCTCTAAGGAAGCCTGTATGTCATCTTAGGCTAAGGTGAATTATTAGGGAGACTGTCTTTATTAGTAAGACCATAACCTGCTTGGATAGAATTACTTCAAGATTTGGTTAAATAGAGTTTTAAAAGAAAGAGCGTGAATCTGTGAAAAACAGTATGTGCATTGCCATTGAAAAGCTGCCAGTTCTGTGGTGTTTCAGTAATTCTTATTGCTTTCTTCACCAGGAATTTTGTGGAAATAAATATTTTAACGCAATTGGCAGGCAATGCTGAACACCCAAAACACATCCCAAGAAACAATATAAAACTTTATTTGCTTTACTAAACATTTTTTTGTTAAAGTACAAAAGAGCTCCAAACCACTGATAAAAAAGAAGAAAACAATCCAGTACAGAGTTATGATTTAGGACATTTTTTTATTATTTAGAGGTCTTCTTTATTAAATTCTCCTTTAAGTCATTTTAAAAGGTAAATTAACTCTTTCCAAAATTTACTGCACACAGGAATACATTTTTCTATACTGCAAATTCTTTAATTAAAAAAAAAGACATGCCATGACACAGCTCAAAATAAAATAAGGTGTGGTGGGTTCATTTATTAGATTTCCTTTAAACAGTCATTTTACTGTGTTACAAAGACCTTAGACATCTTTGATCAGTAATTATAGTTAATGACCTTAATATGGTTCATTTTAAAGCAATATTGTAAATTCACCACATGCATTAGTAATAGTAATTGGAGTGCAATTATAAAAATGTTTCCAGCTTCTAAAGATGTTATAGAAATAATGATCTGACAGCCAGGCATATCAAACAGAGGTTGGAGGCAGAATCTATATGGGTGATTCTGTATAAAGCCAAATATTTACCATGCTGTCTACAGACGTTTCTTCAGAGTGTCACAGCAGAGAACGACAATGCATGTCTCAGCATTTACAACTCAAGTTAAGTCAGTCTGTAGTACAAAATAATAGAAAAGTCCAAACAAGAATTAAATAAAGTGTACAGATGAATAATGTTTACTTTAGTTGTCATCATTTGCACTGGTTAACATATTAGTAACGAACAAAATTAAATTTAGCGCAAATTGGTGCAATTGGTGCAGGGAACATTGAAATCACCAGAAAGAGCTAATAGCTTCACGGTTTAACACTGCACCTTTAAGTGAAAAAGTACCTTCTGATGATGTACAGTAAATACTAGGCTAGGTACCACAATTGATGAACACTGTGCCTGAAAAGTACAGTATGACTTTCACACGGCCGAGGAAAATGAGAGGAGGCCACACACACACAGCTTCCAATTCACTTATTCAAGCTCAGACAGAAAAATGTTTAGAAACTCCACAAAACCCCATGTGCTGCTAATAGAAAAACTGGAAAGGCTTCTATTTTTAATCAAATAAAAAAAACATGCAGCGAAATCCTGTCATTGTGTTTCAATGTTTAATGTTTTTTAACCAACTCCAATTAAACTAGAATGTTTTCATTACAGTTGCAAAATAAAAATAATGTCAGCCAAAAAAGGGATTATGAGTTTGTGTTCAAATAAAGTTTTTTATATCAAACTCACGAGAAAAACAAGCATTCATTTTAAAAATGCGTGTTGCCTGCCTAAGTCTGTGAAACGGGCAAGCCTAACGGAAAACAAATAACACGATGTTCATAAATAAACGTTAGGAAGTAGGCCATAACAAAAATATTATACTGCTATAGTCTGGCTAGAAATCCAGAGAAAACTGAAAACAAAGAGGGTGAAGCAGGTGCCAAAATGCAGCAAGTGGGCCTTGGAGCTGTTTGTGCAAGACCGCATATATTTGTACAGCAGCTGCGAACTCTTTGTGTACCTACATTCTTCCGGAGAGACGTGCGACATGGTCTGTCCCCTGACGAGCCGGCACGTCGAGCCGTCTCCTGCGCAGACACCGCAGTTGTCTTCCTTGGCGTTGCTCCCGAGTTGCCGGTCACATCCCACCGCCTGCCAACAACAACAGGACAGTCAGGAGGAGGGCACGCAAACTCGGGACTCGGGAATTTTGTTTATTTTTTTATGGGTTATTCAACCTAGATTCGTCTTCTTCTTGTACCCATTCTCTTTTTGTAAGAGGCTGGCCTCATTCTGTCACATTACAGCCAGCTTTCCTTATTTGCACCTCCATCTATCGAGAGTGAAGCCAACATGAGGTCCTTGGACTGTGTTCCTATGCAAAACTCTCAGTCATGGGAGGATTGGTTTTATGAAAAGAGAATTACACATTAAGGAAAATTCATAGTTCTCTTTTTATATCATTTTCCAAGAGAGACATACTGTATAAAGAGAGATGTTCTTTAATTATCAAGCTGCATTGATATTACAAGCAGTCTTTGTGTCTTCAGTATTTGAGCATGTCACAGTAATGCCTGCAACCAGACACGGTCAAAGTCTTAAGTCATGTATCCTCTCAGTCTTATCAAGAAATCTCAAGGCTAATTGACCACAAGGCTGTCTTATCCCTTACTGACAGGGTAGGAATTGAATAACCTGCCACCAGGCTAAGATCCGATTCTATAAACACTCTGCTTTAGTCTTTAATAATTCCCAAGCTTCGTACCCTATGGAGGCACCATACTAATGTGTTGACCATGTCTCTCAGAGATCAACTTACAGTCTTTCATGTGCCTGATCTCCAAACCGCACTGACTAGACACTCATACCCACTTCAGTCTCTATCCCTTTCAATCAAGGCTAGAATCTGGCACTCTTCCCTGGGAGAAAAGTTACTCCATAGTCTCAGCCAGAGAGCTGGACTGGGTGCGCTTCTGAGAACTCATCTTTTCCAAAGGCCAGGTTCTGTCCCGGTATGTAAACACCTAGCAAACCTTTATTTCATGTCTTATAAAGAAGTTTTACAGGTTGTTGTTTTTTTTACAAAGAAGGTTAGCATGGTTCTTCAAAAACCTAATACCTTCTGGTTTAATACATCAATTATGAAAAAATAAGAACAAAATAAAAAATAAGAACATAATAAAGGTTATAAATTGGAGGAGGTCAGCAATCCCACTTAGCCAGGTTGGTTGGTAGCAAGTAATTTATACACAGATCAGCATCGAACCAGCCTTTGTGTAACAGTTATTTTAAGTGCACTTCCCTGCATTTGCCAGACATTGGTCCTAGGATACGATATAATCTACAGTTCTAACTATATATGCTAACTTTCTCTTTGTTATGCTAATATCAGTTTTAAAAAAAGCTTATATTATGTTTTGTCTGCAGATATATTCTTATTTCTCATTTGACTACACTGCCTATAGAAAGTAACAGCCTTCCCAAAGTAACACATTTTGTGGCCTAACAGCCTGAAATCAAAATGCATTCAATCAGAATATATTTAACCTTTGTTAACACATTGTAACACAAAACCTCCAATTAAAAAACAAATGCTGAAATATTCTGAAAACTGTTTACTAACGAAAACCTAAAATGGGTTGGGTAAAAATATACTGTACAATGATGAGCATGTACTTGGTGGAAGCACCTTTTGCTCAAATTGCAACCACAATTCTCTTTGGATTGGTCTATACCAATGTAGCACACCTAGACTTCGCAATATTAGCCATTCCACATTACAGAACTGTTCAAGATCAGTCAAATTATGAGGGGACCATTGATGGAGGTCCAGACTCTGACTGGGCCACTCAAAGACTTTTTGTTCTTTAGGAATTCCACTGCGTGCTTACTTTCGCTGTCATGTTGAAAGGTAAACTTCCTTCCCAATTTTAGCTTCCTTGCACCCGAAGAAGACCCCAAAGCCGGAACATCATGTTTACTTTCTTCTCTTTTCAGCATGGAATAAACCTTTACTTGTTCCATTCTGCTTGACAGCCAAACTAAGGCTCGCAAATTCCATCCTGGCCTGGAACAGTAGACCAGCGCTTTGCCCATTATTTGAGGGGTAAGGGAGTTTGCCACCCTTATCTACTCACATTTAATGGACTTGGAGAAGGTTTACAACCATGTACCCCAGGGTATCACGTGTGAAATGTTGCTGGGGTATGGGATACTGAGGCCAGAGCTACATCTCATCTGCTCCCTATATTTATGGAGCGAAATTTGTGTCTTCTCGGTGTTAAGTCGAGCTCGTTAAAGGTGTGTGATGGAGTTTGCAAAAGGTCTTGTCTTCCCTCCTGTTTGTGATCTTCATGGTCAGGATATCAAGATGCATCTGAGGTTTGGAGTATATCCAGTGCATCTCTGCATTTGGCATCCCCAGAAGAGGGGGGCATGGGTGCCCCAACTGGAGTTTAAGTACCATGTAGTCTTGTTCATGAGTGAGGATAGAGGGGATTGTGAAATTGACTACTGGATTGGTGCAAAGGCTGCAGTAATGGAGCTGGGTTTTTTCGACAAAGGAATTGGTTTTCCGATCAATCTACAAGCCTATCCTGACTTCTGGCCAAAAGCTTTGGGTAGTGACCAAAAGAATGAGATTGTAGGTATAAGCGGCAGATATTAGGTTCTCTGTAGCGCTGCTGGCCTTACTCTTCATGACACAGTGAGATGCTAGGCAATCCAGGAGGACCTTGGAGTAGAGTCACTTTTCCTCTGTATTGAGAGAAGCCAGTTGAGGTGGTTTCTTCATCTGGTGAGGATGCCCCTAGGGCACTTCCCACCTGGGGCAGACACAGGACATGTTTGAGGGGTTATATCTCTCAGCTGACCTTTGAACGTGTGTGAATCCCCCAGGAGGAGCTGGAGAATATTGCTGGGCCAAGGCAAGTCTGGTCTGCCCTGCTTATCCTGTTATGACCACAACCCTCACCAGGGTTAAGCGGTTTTCTAGATTTTCATTTCTAATTATTGTACTTTTCAGAATGCTCGAGCATTTGTTTTTCACTTGGAGGTTATATGCTACAATGTGTAATTAAAGGTAAAATAATTAGATTTAGCGTTTCTTGGACTGTAAGGCCACAATAGCTGAATCTTTGGAAAGGGTTGTAGACTTTCTATGGGTGCTATAGTATATATTCTTAAATAGTGGAACTAGGTAATTTTATCTCAGGACTGAACTTTTTTTAACTGTTTTCCCTTAATCCACTTTTACACAAAGCTTTGAAATTACAATACAGATTGATCCTAACATTCATTAATGGCAAACAGGAGAAATGTTTCTCTTTTTCTACCTAACAGAATGCGACCAGCACCGAATACTGCTGTAGTCTGCTACTGACATTACAGACATACTGTATGTAACTACCAAAGCATTCTTCCAGTTTCTCTTGATGACTAACATGACTAATTGGCTTGTGTTATAAATTCAACTTTCCCATTAAGCCACATCAAGGCAGCATACAGCTGGTTTTCAGTGGGGGTATGAAAAAATTCACTTTAAACCAAACCTAAGTTTAAAGACTTACTGTATTTTTAATAATTTTAAAATGGAAACTGATTTGAACTGAAATTCATCAGTCACCAACATGATGTAAATGTAAACATCTGAAAACAGTAAAAATGTTTGTATTACTTTTGTTGGTTATCCATATAACTCCTAGTTGTTAAATGGTTGATTTTGATTCTCATAGACACTACTCTACAATGTAAACCAGGGGGAAAGAACAAAAAAAGAAGATATACCTTCCTGTGTCATTTACCGGCAGCTGAAACAATGCAAAATATTCACTCCCAGTACAAACTAATGTACAGTAAAAAATTAATTAAATGAATGTTATTACAGTTATTGCTTATTTTAATGATACAAAGTAATAATGTAGCATAATCCGTTATCTACATATTCAAAGGGGTACAATGAGCCTCAATATCAATGTAAAATTGATCTGTTCTGCACTGTAATGTAAAACTTTATGATGGGTCATATGGTAAATATAAAATCTTTCTACCAAAGATGAATGCCTTTTGTAAATGTAAAACCACACAATTCATTCTGAGTCTTGACAAGCACTCTGTGGTCTGCTTGAAGTCTGAAAGCAAAGCGTAACTTATTTTTTGATTCAATCATGCAAATTAATCAGCTGCAAGCCTTCTGCATCAGTCAGGCCAGATACTACCTGACATCTTATCTGTAAAAATTCAGAAACCATGATGAATCACCTCTGTGCTTCATCATGGTTTCTGAATTTATGTGAAAGGGTGAATGTTAAATGATACAGCCCAGTACCATTGTCTTTCAAATGCAGACAAAACAAAAAAACCTTTCTAACAAAGTGTTAATCAGCAATTTAACAGTTCCAAACTATCACTGAACTGGCTTAAAAATGCACTTGATTTAATGAAGCAGGTTCCTAATTACCTCTGGTCTGTTCAACTTCAAAGTCACTCTTATAAAGAGTCTTCGGCTTCGCTCCTGTTATTAAACACAACATATCCCTGAATTGCTGGAGGACCTGGACTTCATCAGAAGTCATTCAGTAAAGTTCTTTGCTGTTTCCAACCCCTGTCAAGTCATTACCATCTAAGTCCAGGAGCTAATGAGAGAGGAGGATTTTTGTATAGAAAAAAAACTGAGCAAAGACTCTTGCACAAACAGTAGGCAAACTGAATCTTCAATTCCTTTACAGACACAGACTGTCTTTTCATATGGATGTTTCATGTTAATGTTTGCACAGAACATATGTAATGAGTGTCATTCAACTTTAATGTGTAACACAGAAGATCCAGTAGCCCCTCTAGTGCAATTGACTAGCAATTTTCTAGGGGGCACTACTGTTGTCACCCTGTTTTCACCCCAAAATGGTAAGTGCTGAAAACCAGCAATACATCTTCTGCCTTATCAAATACAGCAACCTGACACGTTTTTTCCCTTTGTAAACCGAGGACTTGTCATTTACTGGTTGTAAAACTGCTGACTTGCTCTGCTGTTCATAAACTATAAATCTAAGAAAACTATATATTATCATTACGACAACGTGAAGTTAATTAGCTTGTATTCCTATAGTCACTCCTAAGATCTGGTTTGAAATCACTTCTACTGAGATAGTGAGGTC